ATCTTCAGCATCACAACCTTATCTTTCCTCGATTTATTTCTTTGCTCCTTCGCCCCTTTTCAACAATTCTTTTGATTGTTGCTGGTCATCTTTTTTTTCCTCTCGAAGGGAGACAATCCTTCTTGACCGTTTGTAGCTCAAAGACCCTTTTTTTTTTTTAATTGATCGCATTCAACCCGCTTTTTTGAATCTGGTTATTTACATTGTTTTCGTCGTAGTAAAACTGTGAATTCTCCCGAATGTATGTTAATAATGACTTCGTACATGGTAATCTTTTTTTCGAGGGCTGATTGCTTGATTTTTCATTCTTTGATTCTGTAACAAGGAGTATCCGATAAAAGTCAATTAACTGAATCGTTCTCCAACCTCAAATCTTGGTAATGTCTCGTCGAATTTCCAAGAAGCTTTATTCAAAACATCCCATCAACCAATTTTCGGGGTATGACTTCGTGAATACTACTCTCAGCATGGGTAACCTCCTGGTGAAAGAGCGAAATGATCGATTTTAGTCATAAGAGAAAACGCTTTGAAATTCTGATGATTTGCTCTTCAACGTCAAATTTTCCGGAGAATTTGACATTCTTATTTTCTAAATGACACATTACTTGCTCATGTCAAACGATAAGAGACATGATTTTGGCAGAATTTTACTTGCCATCGCTAGGCTATGAATTCATAAGTGCTCAAGAAGAAAATGTGAAGGTGTTTTTCGTCATCTGGGCAAAGTGATATGTAGTTGCCAAATCTAGTAATGCTCAAATAGTCCAGGCCTTTGCCTCTAACGGAAAATTATTTAGAAATAGCCCAAATTGGGGTTTATAATCCGGGGCACTCTTTACTTGACATTCAAAAAATCACCCATGTGTGCGAAAATCCGAGCTTTCATTATTTAAAAATCTCATGTGAAACATTGTGATGATGGCAACAAGCTTTAATAAAAAAAAAAAAAAAGGTTTTTTTTTGTTTTGTCCGTGCGCCGCATCGCGCAATCGAGGCGCGGTCAGAGATCGACTGACTGGCAGCTTTTTTTTTATCCAGGCTGCCCAAAGAAAAACACGTTTTTTTTCTCTTCGATCCCATCATCCAATCAACGTTGTTTCATATTCATGTATCGTCGCTGCCTATTTGGTAAATCTCTTGTCATAGAATCATAGAATAGTGAGTGTCACATTTCTCTTAACGCATAGAGGTACATAACGTATATTAATATATCTCGGTTACATGTCGCGAGACAGTTTATTGATAATTTTTTTGTTGTCCGCTGTTTATTATCTGTGATTATTTGTTCAAATTAAATTAAATTTATCACCACATTTAACAACAAAACTAAACACACGCTAGCACACACACGCTCTGACGCACACGTACACACACGCACAAATAGTTGATACTACCTTACCTACAAGAGGACGATTTGACAACACTGCTGCATATGCTTTTCTCACTGTCGCGCGAAACGAACGAGGTGTTATTTAACCTATAATAAAAAAACATATTGTTATTCTTATTTGATAGATAGACAGACGAAAGACAGAGAATCTGGGACTAATAAACCCATAGCATATTGTTTAATACACATTCCTTTGTATTTTTATTCTTGTTTCTCCTCTTCTCACTGCATAGACACCCAGTGTGACGACTTGAACTCTCTCATTCTCCTACCCCTCCAACCTTTGCCAAAATACTCTGTTTCTAGACACGCATACGTATACAAAAAATAGTTACCGCGGGTAAAAAAAAGTAAACAAGTATATAGAGTATAAAATACCACTTCTCCCCCAAAAAGACGCACAATACCCATTATTTGAATGACTAAAATGACTCCACGTACACGTCGTCGAAAGCACGCCATCTCTCAACTCAACTTGATGGTCGTCGGTTTCAAATCACTCGGAAAGACGTCATTTATTCGTATGCTCTTCGATACGCTTCGTGGTCGACGAGATCCCAAAGATAGCATTCCGTTACCCTCCTCGGGAGACCCCGAAGCTGCAAGCACAAAAGAATTATATTCGGTTACGTTGGACGTCGAGGAGGAAAATGAAAAGATTTCCCTGACGTTGGTTGATTGTCCCGGATTTGTTAAGGATAACGAACTACGACTTGATGTACAAGTTACTGAGATCTTACGCTACATTGAGTCTCAATTCGATTTAACTTTGGCCGAGGTTCGTTGTTGGAGCCCAGGAATGAAATTATTCTTCTTGAAATAACATCTAACATGTGGTACTATCCATGCTAATCATCATTCTTTTATTTTCTTGCGCATCAGGAAACTAAAGTTAAACGAAATCCGAAAGCTCTAGATAGTCAAATTCATGCATGTCTTTATTTCATTGATAACACGAATAATGGTCTGACTGATAAGGATATTCGCATTCTAAAGCGTTTAACGGCGCGCGTAAATGTCATACCGGTGGTTGCCAAAGCAGATCTTTTAACCACATCACAACTTGCCAACTTAAAAAAGGCGATCAATCGAGATTTGAAATTTCATCAAATCCCTGTCTTTGAATTCGCTGAAGCGGAAGACGACACGGATGTTGATCAAGATCTCGAGGAGCGTGAAGAGAGCGAGCAAACAGCCTCGTCATTCCAATCTCTGATCCCATTCTCGTTAATCGCGCCCGAAGACGCAGTCGTCACAGACCCCAACACCGGCGATCGAATTCGCGGGCGTCAATTCCCATGGGGAATTATCGACTGTCTGAATCCGAAACACTGCGACTTTGTCGTACTCAAAAATGTCTTGCTGACGAGTCATCGTAAACTATTCAAGGATCGTACGCTGGAGTCGTTTTACGAGCAATATCGCACGGAAAGATTGTTGGCCAGAAAGGCGAGTAAGATGATCACCAAGGAACAGAAGAAGAAACTGTTGGAGGATTTGTCGGAAATCTAGAAAGTGATCATTCATTATATGTTTTTTTTCCACAATTAAATTATTTATTCTCATTTTTATTTATCAGTCTGTTATTTAAATTTATACACATTCTTTCTTACTTTTTCTGATTTCTGATGTCGATTACTTTCTCTTATTATTTTTCTTTTCCTATACTATATATATTATACGAGAAAAAAAATCACATAATATATATACAAGTATGGGCGATGAATAACAAAAAGAAAACATAAAAAATTTCTGTAATTTAATGTTAACCGTCGGACGACCGACTCTACTTTTTTTTTTTCTGTTGTATATGCATATGCACCACCACACAAATTTCAGGTCCCTGTCTCTGGCTCGATAAACAATAATGCCTTCTTGAGGGAGAATAAAAATTGATGATCAAATCCCGACCGGATTCGGGCCTATCTATGGGTTTTTGTCTTTCTCCGTTTTGGTTGAATCAATGAATCAATGATTGCTTCTTCAATGAATCAAATGAATGAGTGAATGATAATTGGATCTTGATTGATTGGATTTATTTTTATATAAGTATATGTATATTACATACGTGTATTTATGTATTCTGTTATATGTAAAGAAGATGTGTTTTTTAAAATGATATTTTTTTCATATCCCTTATTATTTTATATCACAAATAATTATTGCACGCTCGTTTACCTGGTTTCCTCCGCACACCCCGCCTTACCCTCTAACACTCAAACATCATCAAG